ATTTTGTTATGATCTAAAAGGATTTTTTAATTGTAATTCCTTTCTCAGTATCAGTGTAATTTCTATTGATTTCAAATATATATCATATACATGGTATATCTTTCTATTGATTTCATATATATATTTTTTACTTATATAGTGAAATTACATATATGAGATATATATTATATGTAGTGAAATCCATATCCTATGAAATTATATTTCATATATTTGAAAATAAATCTGTGAAATATGTTTCATATACACACATACGACTTCACTGTATAACGAGGTTATAACTGTATACACTGAGCTGTTGTAGTCTGCTCCTGATGGGAGAGAACTTCCATTGTAACTTGAGGTTACTGAGAACTAAATCTTCTACTTATAATTCAACTCACCTCATGATTGGAAGGTTTTCCACAGACCAGCTTCTGGCTTTCTGTATTTCAAACTTGCTTTCTCCTCCACTACCCCATAATTCTGGTGTTTCTAGGCATGACAGCACACATTAATATATTTTGCCTCTGGCCCTAAATGTCATGATTCCAGGTGAGTCATGCCAGGAGATGGAAGTACTCCTGAAAGCCATTCCTACATCAGGATGACTAGAAATAACTTGGGTATAAAATACAAATATTTCCCACTAAACCCACTCTCTCTTAGTTAGATTTCAAAAATGCCCATGGCTATCTCCAGTGCCAATACAAGGACAGGAAGTCATAGTGGAAAGAGACAGTAGACTTAACTAATTGTAGGTGAAACATATTACTTTTGCAAATTTTACAAAAACATAGGAGCATGTGGAGACATTGCCTTGGAAGGGGCCCAGGTGTGCTGTGGAGGCTTTAAGCTTCATTAGTTTCCTGATCAATCCACCTATGGTTTTGCATATGCATATATTTTAATTACACACTCACACACCCCATATCTCTTTCACTCATTGTTCCAACATTTCCAATGGAAACAGCTATGTTAGAACCAGAGTTTAAAGCAATCTATTACAGGGGCGCCAGGGTGGCTCATTTGTTTAAGCAGCTGCCTTGGGCTCAGGTCATGATCCCAGGGTTCTGGGATGAAGCCCCGCATCGGGCTCCCTGCTCAGCAGGGAATCTGCTTCTTCCTCTCCTTCTGACCCTCCCTCCTGCTCATGTTCTCTCTCTCTCTCTCTCTCCCCTAAATAAATAAAATCTTTTAAATAATGTTTAAAGCAATCTAATACAAACAGAAACAATTTTTAACAGTTTTTTTTTCCCAAATGAAGCAAGAATTGTACTTTCAAGTTGAGAAAGAAATTTTTTTTAAAAGATTTTTTACTTATTTTTTTGACAGAGAGAGAGAGCACAAGCAGGTGGAGTAGCAGGTAGAGGGAGAGGGAGAAGCAGGCTCCCTGCTGAGCAAGGAGTCTGATGCGGGGCTCAATGCGGGGCTCGATCCCAGGACCCTGGGACCATGACCCGAGCCAAAGGCAGTTGCTTAACCAACTGAGCCACCCAGGAGCCCCGAGAAAGAAATTTTTATGTGATGATTTCAATAAAGGTAATACTCCGCCAGGAATATAGGAGACTTAAAAAAAATAAAATTATTTCTACACTACCACAATGATAAAAGTTTCTGCCTATTATGAAAACAAAACTTCGAATAAAGAATAAAACAAGCTACCAGAAAGTTGTTTAAAAGGCTTTATTCTTTTGACTAACAATGCTTGCCATTTGAATAAGATTCATGTTTTCTTTCAAATCTCATCTACAAAGCTTCATAAAATGAATCTAGATTTATTAATCATCTCTATATCTTTCATCAGTAGCCGGAAAAACCTTAATAAAGACTCTACTGACATTAGAAGATCCATTGCAAGAAGAAAGACTCTTTGTGTAGATTTATACGGGGGAAAAAATAAATCTGTGTCCTTCTGGTTCTTAGTGAATTCTTTCTGGTCCGTGTGTGTGTGTGTGTGTGTGTGTGTGTGTTTCTCTTACACACAATCCAACCAAACACTTCCTTTTGCAAATATTATGATTATCATTATCTCTGTTGCACCAGGGGAATTTTCAGCATTCTAAAAATAATTTCAATTCTATGGAGTCCGAATGTTTTTAGTTACTGCTGCACAAACAGTGGGGTTTCACATCAGATCCATTTTGAAATACTATTAAAGACTCAGAAAATGATAAAAATATGAACAATGCTTTGAAAATTAGGATAACTTAACCTGATTAAAATCAACTTCTATACTAGCCAAAGGATAAAATCCTAGTGTGAGTGGTTGAGCTCCAAGGCCTGATAAAAACCTGTTTCCTTTCTCTTCCTCATCTTCTGTTTGCTTCCTTTCTCACTGTGTTTTTTTCTGTACTACTTTAACAGCAGCTAGGACTGGTTTCAGCCCCACGCTTAACCCCTTGTTTGCCAGCCTTCATCAGAAATCCTCAACCTAGGAGTAAGGAGCCAGGAAAGCTCTAGGCAAAAGGTCTACCTTAAGGCAAGTGATTTCCTTCTTGTTTTCTTCCCAAGTCACCTGCTGTTGATTTTAGATTTTGTACAACTGGATGTGAACATTTCCTCTCTCACTTGTACACATTTCATGATAGAGATAAGCAATTTGTTTTATTATCACCTTCAACCATGCAAAATTAACTTTTTCAATTTGATTCCTTTTGCTCATAAATACCATAATGAAGACTAGTTACTAAAGTCTAAAAATTGCTCAATTCTTATACAAAGCTTGGTGGTAAAAATTACTATTTGTGGAGATTGCCCAAGGAAAGTGAAATCCATTGCTGACTCTAGGTATTCATGGACCCCAGGTTAAGAACCTTTGTGGTAACTTACAGTGTACATTAGTTATTGCTGCAAAACAATGGTTCAGGAGCTTGCAACAATTATCTGTTTTTTCATGTGTTGGTCTGTGGGTCAGCTACAGCTTGGTGGCACTCCTCTGGGATTAGGAGGGCTTGGCTCCAGGCTGCAGGCTGGTTTTAGGTCCACTCCACGTGTTTCTTCATTTTCCTTGAACCAGGGCTAGTTGAGGCCTATTTTTCTCATGGTGAATCACAGGGGCCTAAGAGGTCAAGCCCAACTGTACATGTGCCCCTAAAGCTTTAAGGCTCCCGTCAAGTTTGCAAGCTTTCCACTGGCTAAGCCCAAACCCAGGGAGCAGGGACACTGACTCAGCCTCCTCTATTGCAATGCTAGGTCATGTGGCACAGGGGAGAGGGAAGAATTAAAGACAATGACCACTGACCATTTTTTTTCTCTCTGTGACTTGACTTTCCCATTTGTAAAATAAAACAAAACACAACAAAAATGAAGAAAACTACCTCCTAGACTTGTAAGGATTAACGTACTTAGAACAGCAGTGCCTGGCGCACACATTTAAAAAAACAAAAACTTGGGGCACCTGGGTGGCTCAGTCGTTAAGCGTCTGCCTTCGGCTCAGGTCATGGTCCCAGGGTCCTGGGATCAAGCCCCGCGTCGGGCTCCCTGCTCCGCGGGAAGCCTGCTTCTCCTTCTCCCACTCCCCCTGCTTGTGTTCCCTCTCTCATTGTGTCTCTCTGTCGAAAAAATACATAAAATCTTTAAAAAATAATAAAAAAATTATAAAACAAAAACTTAAGAAAAAGATTTATTTATTTATTTTAGAGAGGTTGGGGAGGAGGAGAGAGGCAGAGGGAGAGAGAGAGAGAGAGAGTCTTAAGCAGACTCCACCACGCCCAGAGTGGAGCCTGACATGGGGCTCAATCTCACGCCCCTGAGATCATGACCTGAGCCAAAACCAAGAGTCGGATACTCAACCGACTGCATCACCCAGGTGCCCCACCCCCCCAAAACGTAATAAAGTTAGTTATTGTTGTTGTCATGTCCCAGTTATCCAATAAGAGGGAGAAGTTAATTCTTATGAATAGCCATACTTTCAAACATTATGCAGTCATCAAAAACACCTATGAAGAGATTCAATAATTAGGGGAAATGCTTCTTCTGTAATAGTAAGTGAAAAAAGTGGGATGTACAAAAATATGTGGATAATGTCATCCCAACAATGTAAAAAATCTATATGAATCAAAGATTTAAAGGAAATACACCAATCATTAAATTGACTGATTCTGGTGCTGATCGTTCTCTTCTTTCTAGTTTTCTATATTTCCCAATTTTCTTTTTTTTTTTAAAGACTTTATTTATTTGACAGAAGAATAGAGCGAACCAGAGAGTACAAGCAGCGGGGAATGGCAGAGGGAGAAGGAGAAGCAGGCTCCCCCCTGAGCAAGGAGCCTGATGTGGGGCTCGATCCCAGGACTCTGGGATCATGACCTGATCCAAAGGCAGATGCTTAACTGACTGAGCCACCCAGGCGCCCCTATATCTCCCAATTTTCTATAATAAAATGTATTTTTCTCTAATAATAATAAGTTTGAAAAACATTGTTAAAAATAGAAAGAGGGGGTGTCTGGGTGGCTCAGTCGGTTAAGCTTCCAACTCTTGGTTTCAGCTCAGGTTGTGATCTCAGGGTCTTGAGATCAAACTCCACATGGGGCTCTGCCTCAGCGAGTCTACTTGGGATTCTTTCCCTCTTCTTCTTCCTCCCCTCTCCCTCTGCCCTTCCCCCCATTTGTGCTCTCTCTCTCTCTCAAATAAATAAGTAAATAAATAAGTAAATAAAATCTTTAAAAATAAAATAAATAAAAACAAAAAGACCTGGGGTTTCAGGCATTATATGAGCATCTGATCCCAGCCATTAATTCTTTGTTTTGTGTTTTGGGGTAATTTTTGAGCTCCATGCCTTTCATCTTTTCACTATGGACCAATACTATTAGCTTGATTGTTCAGTTTTTCAAATATTCAGCTCCTTGCCTTTTACAGCTGGCTTTGGATTGTTTCAAAGGTTAAATGAGGTACTTTCCATGATTGGAAAAATACACAGCAGAGGTTGGGGATGCTGTAAGCTTAGGAATGCAAGGAGATGACACTTCAGGTAATAACACAATTCATCGAAACCCCTGATAAGTGCTGGGGGGATATCTATAAAAATTAATAGGTTATCTTTACATTATTTGTCTGTTTTAATTATTTGCCTTTTTCTTGAGTCTTCATGAATAATGGTACTGTGAGCCTGACCCTTTTAGAAAAATGCTACACTACTGTAATTATATTTTAGAGATACAATATTATGTGAAAAGTCACCTTGATACTATTCAGACATATTGTATTATGTCCGGGACGAAGATCTTCGACGAATGCAAACTTTCCTGACATTACTCATTACATTTAGTGTAGCTAGGTTGGCTGTGTGCGTATTTTTAGCTCCACTAGATAAATTAAATTGGATTGTGTTTTTTATGTTTTTGCATTTCCAGACCTTCAGGATTTTCTGAAGTCCAAACTCTGCTTATGTGGTAGCTTGAAAATATGTCTACAAATTCTTTGGTATTGCTTCCTGAAGAGGTTGAGTCTGATTCCTCTCCCCTTGAGGGTGGGCTCTACTTATGACTCACTTCTAACAAATAGAACGTGACTAAGGTGATGGTATGTGACTTCCAAGACTAGGAGCTAGAAGTATGGCCTCTCCTTGCTCTTCTTTGATCACTCATTCTCAGGGAAGCCAGCTGCCATGTTGTGAGAACACTCAAATAGCCCTATGGGGAGGCCCACTCAGCAAGGCACAGAGGCCTCCTGCCGACAGCCATGGAAGCAGATCCATCGGCCTCAGTCAAGCCTTCAGATGACCGCAGCCTTGCCAATGTCCTAACTACAAAATCTCGAGAGACCGTGAGTTGGAATCACCCAGGTAAGCTGCTCCCAAATTCCTATTCCACAGAAACCGTGAGGTGGTAAATGCCTATTGTTTTGAGACACTGTTTTGGAGTAATTCGTTAGCAGCAATAGATAAATAACACAACTTACCACATAACTTTACTGCTGGAAAACTCTCCTGAGAGATTTTATATCCACACCATGTAGTGCCTACCATAAGTAGGGTCTGAACTTCATGGTAGGTTCATAGTGGTGAGGAACCAACCCGGGGAGCGCCTGGGTGGCTCAGATGGTTAAGCATCTGCCTTCGGCTCAGGTCATGATCCCAGCGTCCTGGGATCGAGCCCCATTATCGGGCTCCCTGCTCGGCGAGGAGCCTGCTTCTCCCCCTCCTACTGCTCCCCCTGCTTGTGCTCTCTTGCTCTCTCTGTTAAATAAATAAATAAAATCTTAAAAAAAGAAAAAAGCCCGGAATCTGCTATGGGGCAGCTTATCTTTGAATTCCACAAACATGGAGTAAAAGAAAAGGAGCCAAACCTTTGTGATGTTGAGGAAGTTACTTAATATCACTTGCCCTTGATTTATGAAATAGAGAATAATATTTACTTTGCATTGTTGTGAGGCTGAGAAATGATATTCAAGTACCTAGCACGAGTTGTCACTCATAAGTGCTTGCTATTATTAGTATAGAGGTGGATTTTCACCGGCAGCTTTTTTTTTTTTTTCAGACTTCTAGTTAGAGCCCCTGCATGATGCCAAAAATGTCCAGTCATTGCATGACTGTGGAAGGCAGCTTTGTCATTGCTAGGTTTGAAGAGTTAGTAACTTTACTAGGAAAAGCTCTCCGCTGTCTTTCTCAGAACTGTTGGTTTGAAAACCTCACAGGTAAATGATGGTGCCATGGTTTAGATTTGACTGAGTACCTCTCACAAGCTGGTTGTAAATATATCTTCTCGCTACGAATCATTTCGAATAATAAATAAGCAAAGTTTTCACTCTGACGTGCCAACATACTAAATGCCATCAGCCATTTTGTTGAAAGGTAGAGGACTATTTCTCATGCTGGACCATGTGTGTGACATTTTATTCCAGAGCCATCCTTTCACCATTTAGATAAGTACTTATCAATCATCACATTATTTAATCCAAAATTGCACGGGTTCCTCCTTTCCTCAATTATATTGTAGGTTCAACTCCATCTCATCAATTATATTGATTTCTTAAGCTGTTGAGACGAGGGGATCTGACACGTACTCACTTTATCCACCTCTGCTCTAATATTGCGGGAATTATCAAGAGAAAAAGCTCAGAACCTAAAGTTTAGGTAGAAGATCAGCAATTTTAAGAACCCAAATGTAGATAATCGGTGCACAAGGTGAAAGAATTAGATGGTGAGGAACAAGACTGTCGCTTCTGGCCGGAGGGCAGCTCTCCCTGGCTGCCAGGTCCTTATACGCATAATCGCAGCCCCTGGTTCGCTCTGTTGTTATGGCAACCACCGCTGTATATCACACTAAAATCTGGTATTGAAATGTACTAGAAGCACAAAGCATACATTTTTCTTATTTTTCCCAAGTTCTTTTTTCATGGGTTCATGTAGCAATCCAACATGAAACATTTATTGGAGCTTTAAAAATCATAAATCCATCATCTCCCACTCTGAGATTTAGAACTAGCTTCTCCGACTGTAATAGCAATTCCCCACCAAACGGATGGAATACATTTCAAACCATTAGACTTTCTTTGCAAAGAAACGGGGGTGGGGGGGGAGGGATTGCCCTTGGCGATCTTCTGTGAAGCTCATCTACATCACTCGTTCCCTGATGTAAGCAGAATTAGTCTTCAGATTCCAAACTGCCGAGAGAGAGAGAGAGAGAGAGAGAGAGAGAGAGAGAGAGAGAGAGAGACGATGTGGGGGGATTTTAAATGAGGGGTGACAGTTTTGCTTCTTTTCCACAAGGAACAGGTCAATGTTGAAATTCTCGAGCTGCTCCGTTTAATTCACACGGTAAAGTCAGAGGCTTCTTGAATGAAGAGAGCAGCCACTAGCTATGAGACAGACTGTTATCAGAATTGCTGGCATTCAAATAATGCGGAGAAGGCTGTAGATTAGAGTTAGATACAGAGCACTAAAACTGATTTAAAACAAAAAAAAAGCTTTCAGTGACCTAATTCAGGAACTACCTAGGATGCCTCCCGGAAAGAATTTTGCATTAAGCATTCAGATCAAGAGAAAGACCCACATCCATTTATCTGACACATTTAATTCACAACATTATTCCTCTTTCTCTAGGGAAAAGATTATATAACCGAAAATATCATAACGAATGGAAGTAGGACACAGGAAAACCCCGTTGTCGAGAACATTGCTGGTCCGATGTGAGTTCTTGCAAACATTTCTTAGATGCAAACCTAACAGCTGTTTTCAACATTAATATTATTATAATACTCATTGCCAAGACTAGACTGTATTGCTAAGAATTTGTGAAGAACTCAAAGATTTGGAGTTTTAAATCTGCTTTTTCAATATTGGAGATAATCCTCTGGTTGCAACATCCTTGCCTTATAATTTTTTTTTCATGGAAAGGCCATTGCAATCATCTGGACAGTCTCATCAGAATACAGCTTGAGAGGAAGGAAAGATCTTCTTTTAATAGCTAAACAACCCTAGGATCGCATTTATAAACTTTAGGAATGGAAATAAAATTAAAGGTTGAATGAATTAAAATGTCCTTGAGCTAGAAAGTAAGATAGGATGGAGGGGAGAATGTCATCCGATTTATTTTGCTTCCGTTCAAATACCGTAAGCAAACTCCAGCTACTCAGAGGCCTCCTTAAGGCAATATCCCCAACTAGAGGTGGTAGAGAACGGAACGAGGCCACAGCAATCCCCAGTTGGGCCACTGTCGAGGAAGCTGCTGACCTAGTGAGTTTCTGGAATAGGTATGCGGTGTCATCAGAGAAAATCGCCCTCTGCCTGCACAACTAACATCTGACTTTCCTCATGAGGAGTCGCGTCAAGCAAGCTCTTGATTAAGCAGGTTCTGCATTCCTACTTGGTCTATTAAACCAAGGACTGTGCTCTTGGCACTGGGGTACCCAACCTGAGCCTGAGCACAGATCAAGGCACACCCTGGACAGTGTAAACTAGGATATTTTCATCATAGCCAAAAGCTCTGTTCTAAATGCAGAGCAGGTGATAAAAATTAATCAAGATTAATGGGTTGGCTTTAGAAAGGTTCCTTGAGATAACATGCAAGCTTTGGATGCTTTAAATTATACGACATCTTCCAAATGAAACATCACATGTTTTGGTGGCTAAGGGAGAAATCAATAAAGAAATAAAGGCTGCATCTAATCATAGAACCTATGGGATACTTTTCAGATTTTTAAAAATTTCTTCAACAAAAATGCATGGCTCTTCCCCATACCAGATACTGTGCCGGGCATGCATTCAAAATCAAAGAGGTATACATCCTAGCCTCATGGTATGCTCTAAAGAAGGTCAAACAACGAGATATGAATGAGCAATACGGGTGATCAATACCACACAGGAGACCCTCCTCTGGGTGTGCAGAGGTTCTCTGGACCCCTTCGCAGTAAGGGGGCATTGATGCCCCAGCTGTTGGGAATGTTCCCTACTTACTGCTTTCAGCTGACGCCCTCCCCAGCAGGAGAGCGCACTGGATTAGCCATGTTTTTGCATAGTAAATCTATCCAGGTATAAAAGGAAGGATTTCTTCCCTTCTCTGGGACGTCTCAGAATTTTCAGGAGACATAAACCACTGGGCAGCCATAAGCGCAAAGAGAAAATTCAAGGGAGGCAGTGATTAATGTTTAAGAGAGGGAGGTCATAGCAAAGCAGGTTTTCCTTATTTGATGTAACTGATTTTGCGACGTTTGGGGCTTGGGGTTGCAAAGGAAACAGTGTTTAGAGACATGGTGAGTTCAGAAGGAAAATCCAGTGTTGGCCAGAAAGAGATTAAAGGCTCAGCTGGGGCAGATAGAACAAGGCACCCTTATCCCTGTGATTGAGAAAGGTCTTCCTTTCTTTTAAGATTTTATTTATTTATTTGTCAGAGAGAGCGCGCACAAGCAGGGGGAGCGGCAGAGGGAGAAGGAGGCTTCCCGCCGAGCAGGGAGCCCGATGCGGGGCTCGATCCCAGGACTCCGGGATCACGACCTGAGCCAAAGGCAGACGCTTAACTAACTGAGCCGCCTACGCGTCCCTCTTTTGGTGTTTTAATGTATTATTGCTTATCCTAGAATTTTGAGATTGAATTTAAAGCTTTCTGGTTTGAGCCCGTTCTGCACTTAAATTCAGGAATGTCCTCTCTGCTTCTTTCTCCACCTCTATCTGCGTGTGAAGAGTAAAACCCACAGATAACTCAGTCTTCTGACTGGAGGGAAAAAATCATCCAGTTCCTTGCTGGTCGGAGTGTGGTCCTTGGACCAGCGGCATCGGCAGCATATGGGGGCTTGTTGGAAATGCATGCTTTCACGCCATACTCTGCACTTGCAGAATCAGAAGGTGCACTGTAACAGGACGCCCAGGAGATTCGTGCGCATGATCAGGTCTGAGAAGCAGTGTTCGGATTCAGGGGTCCTCAAAGTTGAATGTTCAGCAGAATCAGAAGAACGAAGGGTGACCTGTTGGACTGCAGATCGCAGGGAGCACCCCCAGACTTTCTGATCGAGTAGGTCTGAGGTGGGGCCCAAGAATGTGCATTTCCAGCCCATTGCCAGGTGCTCCTTCTCCTCACTAACTGGGGGACCAGGGTTCCTCTCTGCCGCTCACCAGCTGCGTGATGCCGGGAGCTCTCCTGACCTCTCCAAGACCAAGTTGCTTTTTGTGTTACAGGGAGTGATGCTAACTTCATGGTGAGAATGTGAAGACCTTTTGAAACGCCAAGCACCTGACCCAAGTCCCGTCACAGAATACGCTCTTCAAATTGGGGTCTGTAGACCAGCAGCACCAGCGTCCCCTGGGAGCTTGGAAGACCTGTGGTGTCTGCCCCCACCCCAGACCTGTGGCAGCAGACTCTGCAGCGTCACAAGAGCCTCAGGTGAGAATTATGAGTGTTAAAGTCTGAGCGGAGTTCTACAAGCACGTGGGTCCTCATTTCCCAGTTCCATGTGAGGGTACTGAGGCTCAGAGAATAGGGGTTTCTAGCCCCAGACCAGGCATCGGAAGCTTGAACCCCTAAATCTCCCCCATTGTTCCCACTCTCTCCGATTGCAGCTGCACCCCGAGGATTTGATTCCCCATCTCAGGTGGGAACGCTCACCCTCACCCCAAGCGCAGGTTTGCAGCGCCCTGGGAGGCACCCAATGCAGAGAACGCGTATCCACAGTGAACTTGCCTCCTGACCTGGGGCTCCTCCAAGAAATAGATCGAGCCTGAGAGGAGAGAAAGGATTTCTGTACCTGAGGGTTTGCTTGTTGGACTTTGTGATTTTTTTGTGTTGGATCTTCACGCTGAGGTTCTACGGGAATCCTCGTGGGCAGGAGAGGAGTAGGAAAGAGAAGGTATAAAAGCAAAAGCCACACAGGGTATAAGGAGTCCCGTGGGGAAAGACAGACTCTGGGCTGCCAAGGAGAATGACTTGCTCACAGGGAGAAACTGGGTTCTGTTAGAACACATGGTGCAGCTAAGTTCCCACCACAGAAGTCAGCCCCCTCAGTGTTCTGGTGTGGGATTCTTTGCGAACAAAGTGCTGTTTGGGAATCATTACCATTTGTAGCTCTTTTATTGTACGAACCAAATGAATCCTTCCTGAACATTCTAACAAACACAATACAGAAGTGACTTTAGCAGAGTTAGAAAGGTAGCATTTCTTTTTTTGCATACTGATGAGTACTGACATCTGAAAAGTAATCTGACAGGAAATATAAAATAACCAAATTTATTTGATAATAAAATTCTGGAAACTGTCCTTCCCCCATAAGTGCATGGCTAATTTTGTCATCGAACTTTCTCTTCGACACCTCTTGCGTTGTGACTGAAGGAGTCTGCTTTCATTTCATTAGACCTCATGGACCCGGGACTCCTTGTTCTTTCCTTGAAGCTGAGGGAGGCTGGATGCACATAAACAAGCCGTCATCCCAAATACCATGGCTACAAGATTTACACTGCCCATTATAGTGGAAATCAGTACAGCGATACTCATTTTAGAGCTAGAAGAAGTTCAGAGATGGGAAGTAATTTATCCAAAGTCATGGCCTGTCCAGGTTGGGGATATGCTTAAAATTTAGATCCCTAGTCTGAAGCCTCTTCATATAAAGCATAGACATAAAAATGGTGAGTTCCAAGTAAGAGCTAGATTTTAAACTTTGAGTCTTGATTTCTTTGCCTAGCTATATTTTCTCCTCCCTGGCCCTTAAGCATTGACATCTCCTGGATATAGCTTCCCCCCAGAAGCAACTTTGGGGAAAATGGATTTCAGCTGGGCCTTAATCAAAAGCCCCCTTGTGAAAATTTGGCCTCCAGTTCAAGACTGAGCAGAGCCCCTTTGGATGAATCCACAACTCAACTCATTTAATGAATGAGGGATCTCAGAAATTTGCCTCCTCCCACTCCAATCCCCAAATACACTCCGGGATTCAGTGCGATGGGAAAATCAAACAGTGACTGCCTCTAAGCAGGAGAGGATAGTGATTTTTGGCCGGGAAGGAAGGAGCAAGGGGGGAATTTTCTGGAGGGAAAGTAATGACCATTTTCACCGGGGTTTGGATTAGGTGGCGCGGCGCACATTTGTCCAAACTCACAGATACACTGAAGATTTGTGTGTTTCATTATATGTGAATTTTAGCTATCCTAAAACCTTGGGTAATGAAACAAACTCCCCGGGAAAATATTTGGGATGGTGACAGGGTTAAGAGCTAGAAATGTTAAATTTGCATTTTTATCAGCTCTGTCATCATCCTCACCAACCACAAAATACAAAAGTCTTTAGACCACGTCTGTAGAGGGTGGGGTGGGTGGAAGTAAGAAGAAGCCAAAACCTGTATCTAAAGTACACGATGCATGTTCCGGGGCAATTGTCTTTCTGCTGGCACAGCCAGGAAACCAGACCTTTGCCCTGAACGGAGCAGGCTTCCTTTAGCAGCTACTCCTTAGGTAAAAATAATCACTAGGGTTGTGGGGGGGTGTGGAGGGCGGGGAAGCTGAGGGGCGGGAACTCCGTCGTGAAGCCCCTGGAGGAAACCCCGTGTAGGGTGGTGGGAATTGGGCATCTCCGATTCTCTGATGTCTTCCCCTAAGTAAACGTAGAAATGGGTCAAAAACTGGCAGGGAGGAGAGGCCCTGCTTCAGGATAAAATCCATTACATTATGGGTTTGGGAAAAATTTAAAAAGCATGTGGGTAAAGAATAAATGTTACTAAGACTGTACTGTTTGAGGGTCTTCCTGTTCGCACTTTGAGAATTACTCTGTTTCCCCAGTTTACCAGTGTGGTGCGCTGCTTTTATTATCATGCAAATTTCAAGCCTAGAAAACACAGAGAATAATATAACAAAGAGTAGTATACCCATGATTCAGTCTCGGAGCACCCAGCTGGCTCAGTCCGTGGCACCTGTGACTCTCAGTCTGGGGGTCGTGAGCTCGAGCCCCATGTTGGGCGTGGAGCCTACTTAAAAAAAAAAAAGTATGTTTCCATGATCCAGTCTTGTCGGATTACTGTTTTTTTCTTTTTTTAAGATTTTATTTTTAAGTAATCTCTACACCCAACGTGGGGCTCGAACCTACCACCCCAGAGATCAAGGGTCACCTGCTTCACTGACTGAGCCAGTCAGGCGCCCCGGGATTACTTCTTTTTCGAGATTGCAAGGGTGTTTTACTTTGTGATCAGTGATTATTAATAACTAAATAGTTCAAATGAATCAGAGTTGTCCTTCTATGAACACTTATATCCTCTTGGCTTTTTCCTCACCTTTATGTTATATGTACTTGGATATAGGCGTTTGGACATGATAATTGGTAATTGGATACTCTCCTGTTTTCCTAAACAGGTACATATATCTCTATGAGTGACTGCTCTTAGCTTTTGCTATTTATAATTTATAGAGTTTTTTTTTTTTTTTTTTTTTTGCTTAAGAGACTTATTGTTAAAATACTTGAGGCATATCTGCTTTTTTGCTCTACAGACTCTACAGTCTGGTTGCTTTATAATTTTTTTTTTTCAGCTTTATGGAGATTTAATTGACATATAACACTGAGATTAAGGTGTACAACATGATGATTTAATACACATATATATTGTGAAATGATTACCACAATAATGTTAGCAACACCTCCATGATGACTTTTACAAAAATTTGTTGTTTACTTTTTGTTGTTGTGATGAGAACACTTAAGGTCTATTCTTAGCAACTTCCAAGTATATAATACAGTATTGTTAACTATAGTCACCATGCTGTACATTAGATCCCCAGAAATTATTCATCTTATTACTGTAAGTTTGTACCCTTTGACCACCATCTCCCCATTTTCTGTATCCCCTAGCCCCTGGCATCCACCAATCTACTCTCTCTTTTTTTAAGATTTTTAAAATTTATTTATTTGAAAGACAGCACACACGAGCAGAGGGGGGAGAGGGAGAAGCAGACTCCCTGCTGAGCAGGGAGCCCAATGCGGGGCTCGATCCCAGGGCCCTGGGATCATGACCTGAGCTGAAGGCAGATGTTTAACCAACAGAGCCATCCAGGCACCCCACCAATCTACTCTCTGTTTCTGAGTTTTGCTTTTTCAGATTCCACATATAAGTGAGATCATGTAGTATTTGTTTTTCTCTGATATATTTCACTTAACATAATGACCTCAAGGTTCATCAATGTTGTTGCAAGTGGCAGGATTTCCTTCTTTCTCATGACTGAATAATATTCCATTGTGCATTTACTTATGTATATAATATAATATCCATATAGAAACATCTTCTTTATCCATTCATCCATCCAGAGATACTTCAGTTGTTTCTGTACCTTGGCTATTGTGAATAATGCTGCAATGAACATAGAAGTTCAGATATCTCTTTGAGATCCTGATTTCATTTCCTTTGGGTATGTACCCAGAAGTGGAATTGCTGCATTGTAGGGTAGTTGTGTTTTTAATTTTGTGAGAAACCACCATGCCGTTTTCCACAGTGGCTGCACCAAGGGATACTCCCACCAACAGTGCATGAGGCTTCCCTTTTCTCCACATCCTCTCCAACTTCTGTTAGCTCTTGTCTTTTTGATACTAGCCATTCTATCAGGTGTGAAGTGACAGCTCATTGTGGTTTTGATTTGCATGTCCCTGATGATGAGTGAGTGACGTTGAGCATCTTTTCATGTGTCTGTCGGCTGTCTGGATGTCTTCTTTGGAGACATGTCTATTCAGGTCCTCTCTTCACTTTTTAAAATTGGATTGTTTGGATTTTGCTATTGAGTTGTATGAGTTCCTTATATATTTTGAATATTAACCTCATGTTATAACACTATCAGCAATTTCAAAATTTTAAAATGGAAATCTTTATTTGTAATGTAAGTCAGCCGTTCTCCAACATTTAGTCTTTTTTTTTTTTTTTAAGATTTTATTTATTTTTTAGAGAGTGAGCGAGAGAGAAACAGCATGAGAGGGGAGAGGGTCAGAGGGAGAAGCAGGCTCCCCGCTGAGCGGGGAGCCCGATGTGGGACTCGATCCCAGGACCCTGGGATCATGACCTGAGCCGAAGGCAGATGCTTAACCATCTGAGCCACCCAGGTGCCCTCCAACATTTAGTCTTAAGAATCATTGACGACTCCAGAAAGCTCATGTTTGTGTGGATTTTATCAATTGGTGTTACCAGGTTAGAAATAAAAGTGGATAAAAATGTCTAAATACTTATTTATTAATTTATTTAAAATCACAATAGCAAACCCAATATATGCTAACATAACACATTTTCATGAAAATAACTATTTTCTTAAATAAAAAATTTATTGGGAAAATGGCATTGTTGCACATTTTTGCAGTCTTGTTCATGTCTGCCTTAATAGAAGCTGGATTCTCATATTTGCTTCTATATTCAATAGATTTCTTTAAATGAT